TCTGTGTTGTCCTTCTCGATGTAAATGGAGCTTTGAACGAGGGTACCTCTGGGATTGCTGTGGCTGATAGGCTGCATTGCAGGTGGGAATAGTGGTTAACACTTTTGAGAGTGGAGAGTCGCACCAGGTAGTCTAGAAACACCGTATGTACATTGCGTCATTGGGATCCTCACAAGACCCATGTGAGACAGTGCCATTATTATTATCACCCTTGCTTTACGAATAAGGAACCCCCACCCAAAGGGGAAAACAAAACTCACCAGAAAACCCAAACCAAGCCCAGTGCCATGGAGTTGATGCCAACTCACAGAAGCCCCAGAGGGCAGAGTAGAAATGCCCTTTGGGTTTTCAAAGCTGCAAATCTGTACAGGAGCAGACAGCCTCATCTGCAGCCTCATATTGCTTCTGTTGGTTTTGAACTGCTGACCTTATGGTAAGCAGGCCAGCACTGACCCAGCAATACTGCCAGTGTTCCTAGAAGCCAGAAACTCACTGTCTTTAATAATGAGCTTATAGGACAGGGTAGAACTGTCCCTGTGGGTTTCTGAGATTGTAACTCTTTATGAGAATAGAAAGCCTTGCCTTTCTCCCAACAGAGTGACTGGTGGTTTTGAACTGCTGACCTTGATGTTCGCAGACTAACGAGTAACCCCTATGCTACCAGGGAGCCTCTGGCAAAGCCAGACAGACATATTCAGTTCTTGACCCCACTACTTACCAGTTTCAATTCCCTCAGCTATCAAATGAGCCAACTTTAAACCACCTTGCCGAGAGGATTGCAGATAAGGTCAGCCCACTGCACCAGCAGCGCTTCTTACAGAGAGAACCTCGGGCTGAAAGGGAAGTCACAGGGCCAGGGTCACACAGGTGATAGTGGTACTTGACTACTGCTGGGGGCTTCTCTTTGTGCCACAAACCTTTTAATATTCGTTGTATAAGGGAGAGCTACTCACTGAACCATGACTTCTTGTGCACAAGAAGAATCTAGCCACTGGGACTGCTGAGATGCCAGTGAGGTTTTAAACTTTCTCCTGAATAAAGTTGGGGATGTGGTGGTTTTTTATTTTAAAGTCAGGTACCTATTTTCACTTTGTTTTTAAAGACAAAAAAAGCCTGTACTATACAGAAAAGTCTGAAAGCAGTGAACTCTTAATATTATTGCTCTTAAACTTATAGTGTGTTCACATATGCTGATACATCATTCAGATGGTATTAATAATTTTGCATCTAGCTATAACATCACAAGCAATGTTTCACACCCCTAAAGTCTTTCTGTAAACCCAGTTCTTAAACACCCAAAGCTGTGGATGTATCTTCAATTATTTAACAATTTAATGCTATCCTTGAGGTTAGATTATTATTTTTCTATAAACAACAGTGATGACGTTTTTAAATATGATTTTCCTGTATTATAAATCCTAGCAACGGGGCTACTGCTGTAGTGGAAGGAAGCATCGGTAAGGCTTGATGCAGACTGCCAGACTGATATGTGGGCCGGCACTTCCCTTTCTTTTTGCTTCCTGGTGACTCTTCTCCTTTCTCCCCCATCCCTCCCTGTGACTAGAGGGTTGGAAAGTCAGGCTACTGTAGCGCCGGACCCTCAGTTGCAGCTTGAGAGAGAAGTGACAGGGAGCAGACCAACCCCTGTGGGTGATTCATTCACTGCTTTTGCTGTTTTGCATGAAAGGACTTGGGAATCTGTCATTTGGATCCTAGCCCTTTCTTTTCCCTTATCAAGTTCAAGAGTCCCGACTCTTTGTCTCATCAGAAAGAATATGAAAGTAATAGTTTATTCAATATTAAAGTTAAAAATAAGCTGAAAATATAAAAATGGTGTAATTGTTAACTTTCCATACCCTTGGATGAAAGATCTCATACACATTCATTGAGATTATTATTATTCCTAACTCAAAGAATTCTAAATATAAATGAATACTTTCTTTTACCCCTCCCCAACCCCCCCAAACAAACCAAATTTACTGCCACGGAGTTGATTCTACCCTGTATACCTGCCTGTGTGGTTTCCATAACTGCAACTCTCTATGGGAGTAGAAAGCCTCATCTTTCTCCTGTGGAGCAGCTTGTGGTTTCAAACTGCTGACCTTGTGGTTAACCTCCTAACATATAACTCACTACTCCACCAAGGCTACACACAGACACGATATGCAATTAGCATATTTATTGTTAAGATGGGCTCTCTGTCTAGTTGATTAACTCTCATCTCTAAGATGCTAAGCAGCTACTGCTTTGTGTATCATGGTTTGTTCCTTGTTCTCTGAATAAAGTCAAGACAGCATTACTTAGGTCTAGAGACCGCCTCCCCACAGGTGATGCAAGAGGGAGCTTTCTATTAGAAGAGAAGACAAGCTGCATTTATAATCCCAGTTTTGTGCCAGTTAGTGCCTCATGATATCACTCAAGAAACTGAAGCTCAGAAAGGCTAAGAAATGTGTCCAAGCTTCTTGCACATAGCTAGCATGAACTGAATTCTTCCCATTTTCCCTTCAGACCGTCCACGAGAAGGCAGGAGCCAGGGAGAAGGTTTGAGTTCCAGAAAGAGGCTGAGGCTTTCGTTTGAGAGAGGTCCTGGTGAAGGGAACTGGTGCCTCCAGCCAGCGACGGTGCCTCCCCACTCACAAGACCCTCTGTGGGCATGTGACCTGTAGGACGGCTGAGAAAAGACTGTCTGAAAAAGGGATCTGTCTGTGTTCCCTTCTGTGATTGGAGGGCTTCCTCGGTCCCCTAGGTGGTACAAAATTTGTGTTCAGCTGCTAACATACAGGCTGGCGGTTTGAGCCCACCCAGTGCTGTCTCGCAAGAAAAGGCCCTTTCGTCTCCTTCTGTTAAGATGTCAGACGAGAAGACCCGGTGGGCCGCTTCTATTCTGTAACACATGGGGTGACTGAGTGTGAATCGTTGGCAACTAGCATAGACCTTTCTGTTGCGCGTCCAGCGGGCTGTGTAACCCTGGGGCCTGTCCTGGTGTGTGTATTGGATGGGGCAGGCCTCCTGTTGCCTTTCCACTCAGATCTTTCCACCCTCTGGTTTGCAGGCCATGCCTCCTGCCGTGCCTCCCCATCGTTGCATACTCTGACTGGCTCCTTCTTCCCCTGCCCGTCTCAGAACCAGAGTCCCCTCCAACCTGGCGTGGCCACCCTGGTCTGCAGAGGGGATTGGAGTTTGGCCTTCCTGAGAGCGAATGGGACCCATTCCTTTGCTTCCCTGTAACCGTCCTTGGACCTGACCCAGCCAACAACAGTCTAGCCCTGGAGGAGCGCAACCTGCCTGCTGTGACCCGACTTCTCAAACCCTCCTCCGGCCCTGCTGGCTCTGAAGTGCCTTGTCTCCTGGCCTGTGTGAACCTGCCCAGCTTCCCTGCCTTCCCTCTGATGTCCAATGAGGCCTTGCACCTTGGCGAGTCTAGATGAGATCCTTCCAAGGAGCTGTTCTCTACCTCATGGAATGTTCCTCTCCCAGAAATTGCAATGACCTGGGTGTGTGTTTTCTGGGGGGGGGTGGTTATTGGACGAAGCCAAGAAATTCATCTAGGCTTGGCCACAGGATGGCTTAGAGCTGAGTCTTCTGTTGGGCAGGGTGCCAGCCCTCAGTTTGTTGTCCCCCAAACACGAGGGGGCTGACAGATGCCACTGTGCTCAGAGCAGCTTTCCTGCAGCTGAAATTCACTCCTAGATTCTCGGTCGGTTCAGCTGGGGCCGTCTGCAGACTCTGCCTCTGCTGTGCTCTCCTGTTTCCTCGAGGGCGGCTCAGAATGACTCAGCCCTCGGAGGTGGCCATCTGCAGAGGCTGGGACTTGGGATCTTTATTTCCCTGAGGCTTGGAAACAAGGCTGCTCACTGTTAAAAAGAGCCATGCTTTGTGAAGCCAATGCCTGGAGACCCTCCAAACACAGGGCCCCACTAACACTGGGCCAGGGACAAGGTGCTCATGCTCTGGACACGTCTCCCCAGACTGGCGCAAGTATTCGTCGTCACACATTTCATGTGCTCCCGGTGTATTTTTGAAATCACGTGCGTGTGAGGTACGCCTCTCTCGGAAGGTAGGAAACTAGACTGGGAGGACATGAGGACCTTGAGCAGAAACAACCACCTTGAGCTAGGCTGACAATGAGCCGAGAGAGATGCTCACCTGCAAATGAACTGCAGTAGACTGCTGATCTTCCCTGGTTGTCAAGAGACCTGCTGTTTCCTGAATGACTAGGAAGAAGGTCATAAATCTTTGGGGTGAGGACCTCGTTGACCCCCATTAAGTTGTTCTGCTTAGCTGACAGGTGTGATGTATTCTGATACCTCTCCCCACCTGCAGCCTGGGCTAGGATTCTCCAGAGAACATGCCAGAACGTGGTATCTGCCATTCAAGGGACTTAAGGGGTAGCCTCTCTCAGGGCTGTGTTGGCTCAGGGAGACCAGGGGCTAAGTGATTCTCTCTGCTACCTGGTTGTCTCCCCCAAGTGATACTGTGGAAGAGGTAACAGTCCTGGGGATTCTGAAGGGTTGTGACTGCTGACCTTGTATTGTCCCTTAGATCCCCCCATGTTGAGGACCAGGTATACTGCAGCTTTAATGCTTCCAGGGTAGGGCGGCCACCCCGATCCAGGCACCGCTGCCCCGTCACTTTCTCTGCAAGGACTCCTTATTCCCAGGTGTCACTCAGCATTCCGACAGAGCCCTGGTTGCCGGCCCTGCCTTCCTGTCCAGGGCTGTGATGTCGGATGTAGTAGCCTGGCTTTAGCAAGGAGGGGCGCCCAGCTCTCAGACCAACATGCCTGCTGCTCTCCTGTGAGACTGAGACCTGGGGCTTCTCTTTTGGAATACAACATATGAAGGGCTTTTTGTTATGTTGTGTTTTTTAATGTAAACTTGATTATTTTATTTCTAATTTAAAAATAAAGGACTTTATATTGATCATTCCACAGGTCTGGTTCTACTTTCCTGCAGAACACTTGGTGATTGGCTGCCACCACCTGGTGGTTTAGGATGGGGGTGCACATCTTCCCTAATGTGCACGAGTGTGCTGGACCGGATGGGCTGGAAGTAGTCTGGTCTTTGAACATGGATCCATCTCTCATAGAGTGCAGTGGGGTGGGATTGGAGTTTGACACCTTAGGTGTTCCCCACAAAAGAATTCAGATCGCTGACTAAGAGTAGCTCTAGAGCAGTGGTTCTCAACCTTCCTAATGCTGAGACCCTTTAATATAGCTCCTCATGTTGGTGGTGAACCCCCCCAACCATAAAATTATTTTCATTGTTACGTCATAACTGTAATTTTGCTGTTATGAAGTGGGTGACCCCTGTGAAAGGGTTGTTTGACCCCCAAAGGGGTCCCGACCCACAGGTTGAGAACCGCTGCTCTAGAGGGAAATGGAGTCTGTTGTGATGCTGTCTAGGGAGACAGGACATACGATACGAAACGTCCTCTGTTCATATTCTGGGTTCCAGAGGCCAGATCCATCTCCCCTTCCTTCTGTGTCCCCGTGCCCTTCACATCCCGTTTGATGTCCGGATTCGTGTTTGTCTCCCTTCTGGAACTCTAGCCTGCATGTCATTTCTCACTTGCCTTTTCTCTCCTCGTCTGGACGAGCAGAAGAAGATCATGATCATGGTCTGCTGCATAATCCTTGCGGTCATCTTGGCGTCTACCATTGGGAGCGTGTTTGCCTGAGAAAGGTGAGCCATCAACGGGGAAGGGGACAAGTCCTCTATCACTTATTTAAACCTTTCTGCTCTAGGGTGTCTGGTGGGACTAGGTGCTAGAATACATACAGGTCTGAAAAGTTAAAGAAAAGTGCACTGAGGAATAGTTGGAAGCAGGTGGAAAGGCAGAAAGCAGCTGTGTCCCGTTACCAGGTCTCTTAGCAGGATGCTTGTATGAGCCAAGGATGTTGTCCTACAGCAAAATTTAGGTCTCTGTATCTGGGAATGGCTAAAGGAGTTGTCTCACCTTAGAAGTAGCCTGAACTCTTTAGAAGTGGGCCCTGGTACTCTGCTCTAAGTAATTAGTGATTTTTAAGATAACAGACTCACTCTCCTGTTGTCTTCCTCAGCCCCCAGGATGGATCCCGACTGGCATTTCTAATCCTCCTTCCATCTCTGTGGGCCATCACTTCTCTACTGCAGACTCCACAGTGACTTCTTTCCATTAGGAAACCTCTTATGACCCAGGGCATCAATCGACTATTAAAAGTTATGCAAAGGGACTGCAAACTTAGGAAAATACAGAATCAGGTAGGGGGCAGGGGGGAAGGAACAGGTAATCCAGACAGAGAAAGCAGGTTGGGCATTGGGTTAAAGGGACGGTAGGGTAGAGAAGGCAGAAGGAATACTTGCCCCAAGGGCATGGTGGTGAAGGGGCAGGTAGTACCAGGCACCCAATTCAATTGGGTCTGTTAGCCTGTTTAAGTTGATTAGCGAGATCATGGCATTTATTGCTTTTGCAACTAAGCTTTAAAGTCTCAACTTCGGTCACCCCCACATCTAGTTTCTTTAGGGCCCAGGAGTAAGTAGTTAAAGGGAAGATGATCCGGGGATGGGAAACATGCAGGTCTTGCTCTCTGCCGTGTCCCCAGTGCTTCGCATAGTGCCTGCCACTTACAGGTGCTCAGTAAAGATTTGTTGTTGACTTGATTACTTGTAAGTAAACTCCTGACTGTGCCCTTGGATTTGACCTCTTTACACCCCTCAAGGCAGGATTGTTTCGGTGTGAGAGGTAGTATGGGGGCCTTTCAAAAAGTTAAGTTCTTTGAAAAATTCCATTACCTTTAATTCCATTTTTCCACAAACCTTTTCTGGCCTCTTGTATAAAGCTGACTAGGAACACACTGACCCATTAATGCAAAATTGCCAGAGAAGGCCCACGATCACAGCATTACCTTACTCTCTCGAGGAGTGGCGATGGTAGGATTCCATCACAGCTTCTCATTCTGCAATGGCGGGCCCCAGGAATGTTCAGTTCAGTAATTAAAATGCACACCCGCCCTCCACCCCCATGATAGAAATTGTAGTAGTTATCAGTACCACCAGATCAGCTCTTATACCATAACTAACAAAAAGAAAACTAAGATGTTAGAGAACGGTGAAAGGAGACGGTTGCCTCTTACCTGATTCATACTGCCAGCTGCAACCATGTTGGGTTACAAGGTATGTTTATGAAACAGTTCTAACAGTCCCCAACCCGAGGTTCAGGTGTTCAGCTTTAAAACTGCCTATGTGAATGAATTTTAACACAGGTCACTTGATTGCTACATGAACAAAGGCTCACTAAAATATATGAAAAACTATAGTACCCACCTCTTAAGGATTTTAAAAATTTGTTATCTTTGAAAGTGAATTATAAGTGAAAAGTGTGGTGTTAAAAAGAAAATGGGCTAACTCCATCAACCTGTCTTTCCTGTGATTTGAATTGGGGAGAGATTACTATTGGTCAGCTCTGAAGACCAGGTCTTGTTAAAGGCAAATAGGGAATTGGAACCAATGGGCCCTCACGCATCTAGCCGTAATGGGAGGGCTGTGTGGCACATGCGGAGCCCTGGTGGCAGTGGTTACGAGTTGGGTTGCTAATTGGAAAGTCAGCAGTTGAAACCACCAGCCAGAGGGAGAAAGATGAGGCTTTCTACTCCCAGAGTTAACAGTCTCGGAAACTCAGGGAAAGTGCTACCCCGATCCCATAGGGCCAGAGTCAGACGTGACTCAATGGCAGTCCGTTTGTTGGTTGTAGCACAGGGGACTGTGCAGGCCAGCAGAGAGAGAAACAGACCTAATCATAATCTGCAAGGCAGGACCAACCTAGGACAGGCCACACCATTCCACTCTCTCCTCTTGGCTCCCTCTGCTCGGAGGCAAGGGTAGGCTCCTTGCCATGCTGTTACCATCTTTCCCTCCAAGACTGTGAGATGGGCAGGTAGGCATCAATAAATACATGTTGAATCAATCACCCTGTGGGCTGTTTTTCCCCCCTTGGCTATTCCACAAGCATTATGGGATTTGTCTGCGGCTAGGAAGATTTCAGAGAAAAGAGCTCCTTGCTGTATAGAGCTGGGTGTGCCAAATACTTGCTTTAGCCCTGAAGACATTACCTTATGCTTGGGAGAACCAGAGCCTCTGATGGCCAAGCATGCCTGTTTCTGAATCAAAGGGTTAAAGGTCACCATTGAGAAGTTATTTCCTGATGATGCTCAAACATTATTATAAATATAGGTACTTAAAAAAACCCAGTAAATACACACACACCCTTCCCCAAATCACCTACCAGTAATTATATGCTGCTCCTTATTTCTGATGTAATTAATAAGTTTACTGTACAAGGGTTCCCCACAGCCCTGACATGTAAGCTCATGGGAAGAAACACACAGATTCCGCCTGCTTCCATCACTCACGTCCATTTATTTCTCACACAGTCACTATACTCGCTCAGGCATGTAGAACTTGCCCCAGTACTGGCCCTTCTGCGTCAGGTCATATGGGCTCAGATATTTCCGTATCCCGAGCATGTTGGCGGTGGCAATGCGCTCAAAGGTCCAAGGGTTTTGGTTGTTCCTTTCACGTTCCTCTTGATCCTTCCGCATCTTTTCTAGCATCTGGCGACTCACAGCCTTTGCCTCGAAGGGCAGCTTGTGGGCAACCTGGTTGAGGAACCTTTGTACCTCTTTGAATTCACAACGCCCACCCATCTCCACAATGAAGCGGCCAGCCTTTACAGGTGTCACGTAGTGATCAATGGCACCTTTGCCGCCCCCCATGCGCTGCCCTACACCCTTGCGGGTGATGGGCTTGAAGGGAGCTGGAACTCGCCAAATGGCAAACATGTTCTTGGGGTCCATAGAGCGGTTAATTGTCAGGCGCATCATTTCAAAATGGCCCCAGCGGAGGTAACCACCACCCAGTGCCTAAAAATAAACAAAGAAATTAGGAACACACAGGAATTGCTTGTCACCGTGGCTTCAATGATGCATATAAAAATATTAAATTCTAGTAAATACCACGAAAGAAAGGTTAGACAGCAGACAATGTCAGAGAACAAGGATGTACCCACTTCAATGGGTGGTCAAGGAAAAACCTCTTTAACGAGGTGCTATTTAGACTCAACCAAGAAAATGCACGGCAGCACGCGCGTGCACACGCACACACCACCACCACCACTAAACAGAAAGAGTGTGGATTTGAATAGAAAGCCAGTGTGGCTGGAACAGTGAGCCCAAGGTTTTGAGAGGTGGGTAGGGGCAGGTCACACCGACTGAGGGAAGAGATTTTAAACTACCACTCTGCCTGCCTGCTTGCCTGCCAGGGAATAAATCCTGTTCCACATTCATCTGTTTAGCTACCTGCATGAAGACTTCATGAAAACTGGTAAGTAGGGGGAGAAGGGAGGAAGGGGACAAAAGCTGATAGCAAGGGCTCAAGTAGAAAGAACATGTTTTGAAAATGATGGCAACAAATGTACAAATGTGCTTGCCACAATGGATGCATGTATGTATTGACAAGAGCTGTATGAGCCCCCAATAAAATGATTTAACAAAACAAAACGGTAAGTAAGAGCTATCCAATTTCCTAAAATACCAAGGATTTTTTTTCTTGTAAGAGGTTTGAGAAGATCCGATGGTCTAACAATGGGCAAATTAGGTGGCTGCTCCTGCTTTCATGTTGCTTCCCCTTTGTAAAGCCAGGTAAAATGCAAACGTTGACTGGTCTCTAGCAGCCTCTGTGCACATCAGTTTAAAGAGCAGTTGCTCTACCAACCCATCGAGTCAAGACTAGAATGAACTTGAGGGTTTCAGATTCTGCTAAGCCCTGGCTGCCATCCAGTGGGCTGCCCGTCACCAAACTCACCAAGATCCCAAAATTGCCTTCTGTGAACTCGGTGGCTTCCGTGGAAGGTCCCCGAATATCTTTCAGATTTTTAGGTTCTCTCCTCACTTTCGGCACAAGTGGTACCCTTTCAACAAACTTGAGTTTAGGCTTCTCAGGTATGGAAACATCTACAAGGAGGACAGACAGCCAAGCGTAACTACAAATAACGTGTCTCAAAAAATTGCTTTTCTTCCTAAATAGTGATCAACCAGGTAACAATTTTACCGCCAAACAGTAACTTCAAAGGCTTGCTAAGTTTATCTTGTGGATGCTTTTATTGACACCTTTTGGTTATGACAATGGCCAATGCAAACGCTGTTTCTTTGAAGATCATAAACAAAAATGCACGTATTTTACTATGTATTAGCATTAAAGGTGACTTTGGGAAAGCATAGGGAGCCATGGTGGTACAGTGGTTCTAAGTTGGGCTGCTAACTCAAGGTTAGCAGTTTGAACCACCAGTTACTCTGTGGGAGAAAGATGGGGTCTTCTACTCTTGTAGTTAGTTTCAGAAACTCAGAGGGGCGGTTCTATCCTGTCCTATGGGGTCGGCATCTATTCAATACAAGTGAATACATGTACTCAGTTCCATTGGTAACATATAGTATTATAAGACACGGTAAGAGAATAGCACTAGCTAACTTTTTATCTGGGGGGGGGTGCGTTTGTGTGTATGAATTTTAACTATATCCTGCTAGACATGGAGCTAAGTGCTTTATATACATTATTTTATCGAATCCTTAAAACAATTTTATAGCTTTGCTATTTTGAGCTTTCAATGATCACAAAATGAATATACAAACACATCTATGTAACTCATCCAGGTCAAGAAAGAACATTAAATAGATGGTATTTTATCTGTTTTATAAGTGAGCCCTCAGGCCCAGTGACTGTAGACCAAAACCCAGAGTGTAACTACATTTTAAAAGAAAACCAAGTGATATGGCCTCTCTGGATGTCAATGGGCCTAGAAATAGAAAACAAACAAGCAAACAAAAATAAGGGGGCTTCAAAAGGTTCATGGAAAAATGGAGTTAAGAAAAATGAGTAGAGGGACTTGCAATCACCCAGCTGACAAAACATGGGGACTGTTGAATGTAAAACTGATGACTTGCTCTGTAAACACCCATTTGATTCACACACAAAAAGGGGGAAATAATTCCACAAGTTCTGGAAGCCCATTTGTACACTGTACTTGGGAGAAGGTTGAAGCTTACTGCTCCAGTGAAGATTTACAGTCTCAGACACCCACCAGGTTGCTAATCAGTTGGAATTGACTTTCATGGCTCAATTCAAGGAGTGAGTGCATGCGAAATGATTACTTTCTTTTTGGAGGGTGGAATGTATGCCTTTGTAACCTGGGACCTTCAGCTCAGTGAGTTTAGTCCTCATCCCTTTGCATCGCCAGGCTTCTCATGCCGGGACCTGCACAGACCCTACAAGGCGAGACAGTATACTGGTGAGGGTGGAAAGGCAGGACTGCAGGCCAGGCAGGCAGTCTCTTCTTAAAGTCTGGACTTTGCTCGACAACTTAGGTGAAAATAAAATGTTAACTTTTTTGGCAAAATTTTTGTATTAACTTTATCTATACAAATACTATAATAAACAAAACAATATTTTGTAAAAATCAGTGATAACATATGAATGTTGATGGCCAATTTAACTGATTTTGTGAGTTCCAAGATAACTAGGTTTTATTAAGTGGAAACTTATGACTACTTGTCATGAAATTGTAGCTTTGTATTGAACAAACCCGACTTCAGGATCTCCTCCAATTTCTCCGGTTAAAGCGTTTCCTGCTCTTCTAGATGGAATTCCACAACACTGTATTTTAAGGCATCAGCTGGGAAGATTTTAAATCTAATAGTACTTCAATCTAAATCTCCACTATTGGCTCTTGAATGGACCGGGTAAATACCTGTGAAGGGAAGTAACCTGGCCTGTAAGGATTAAGCCTAGGAAACTCTTGGGCCAGTTCCACTCTGTCACACTGGATCCCTGTGAATGGGAATCAACCCGATGACAGACAACATTAAGGGATTAATATGGCTTAGCAACACCCAATTAACTGTCTTTGTTAATGAGGTAATATGATGAGGTGATTTTTCCTTCAAACTTACAGGTATAGTCTGCAAATACATGATTTTGAGAATAATTTAATGTTAACTTCAACATACAACTACACTGTTATCATCATGATTTGGAGTTCAAAGAAACAGATCCTTAAAAGACTGAAATAACCCACAGGCCAAGAGATTGGTGTTTTTCCCTTTTCTGATTAAACAAATGTGCACCACCAATGTTTCAACAAGTAAGGCAAATGCCATGAATGTAAAAGCTGTGGTTTACAATGTGTACCACATTTAAAAAGCTAACTTTTAAGTCATTTAAACATTTCCATTGTAAAACAAACGACTTTATGATGGAGTAAAATCCTACCCCCACCTTCCCAATTTTTATATGCAGCTCCTGGATAGAACTTAGTAATACAGTCACTTCTGGGGCCCAATTATGTATAGAAAAGAAGGCCATCAGAAGTCTAAGTCACTAATACATATTTTTTGAGGCTCATACTACATGGGAGGCTTCAAAGAGCCCGTGGAGTAAAAGTATCTTTTAATTCTATTTTCCCACAAACTTTGATAATTCCTCATATGTACAGGAAAAAGATTCTGATTTACAAAAACCGAGGCATACCGCATACGTTGATAATTTTGCGAATTAATAGCTTTTCACTTATTTTTCCTTGACTGCATATATGTACGTAACCTTATTTGAAGAGCCCGTCAAAAGTCCAAATGTAAGGCCAATCAGTTCGGGCTGCGGGTAGATCATGACGCCGCCGCCACTGGTCGGCCCTGGGGGCACCTCCCGTGTAAGCGCAGGTACCCGTCCTGTCCTTCACTTCTCCAGCGCTTACAGCCCTGCGCGGCATATGGACGCCTCAAGAAGTACTGGTGAATCGGAATAAAGGGCACGCGGGCCGGGATCCATCAGAGGCAGCAGGTAAGACTAAGATGAAAGTGGTAGGCACAATCTCACCTTCGAAGGTTGGCACCGGGAGCAGCGTCTTGAGGCCAGCACTGGGGGCCGAGGTCGCCCACGACCCTACAAAGATACATTCGGTTAAGCCACGAAGGGGATCAAGGTCGGGGCCGAGTGCCAATGGCAGAATACTCCGGCGGCGGTGGTCGGAAGGGTGGCACGAGGCCCCCCCAAAGAGCATCCCTTTGCACGAACCCCTGGGTGGGTGAGGGGGGTGGGGACCTAAGGATGCGACGCCCCCTAAGCAGCGCTTCAATAACCGTAACACACTTAATTTTGGTTCGCGGCGGCCTAGGTCCTTTTCCCTAGGGACCAGTGGGCGTCCTCACCTGACAGGGGACCCCGCAGGAGCGGCGCACCGGCGCGAGCCAGCTGCCTGGGCCACATGGTCACGCGCGTGCGGCCGAGTGCGTCCCCCCACCGTGCGGGCGGCGAAACCCCCACCCGGAGCCGAGGAACGACGCACGGAAGTCACCACGGTACGGCTCCAGGCGCCGCTCCGCCAGACCGGAAGCCGTGTGCACGCCCGGTCCCCTGCTGAGGTTTCCGCCGGAAGTTGGGGAAACTGCCCCCGCGGAGCTCGGGTTCCGGCGCTGAAGCAGGTCGATCGCCGGTCGAGTCCCGCCCTCGGGGCGTCTCCGTCCCAATCCGGTCTGATCGTGGACCGCGCGGCGCCGCGGGACGTTTTCTCCGCAGAGAAGCGGGCGGGAAAAGACTAGTGATGCTTAAGAAGTGAGTCCCTTACCACTCTTCACGAGGGGAGCCAAGAGCAGACACGCAAACAGAAACCCTGACGGACTCGTCCTCGGTTTAACGCCATGCAACGTGCCAGACGTTAGATCCCACTGTTGCTTTTATTCTTCCCGACAAATAAGGAATGTAGGCAACCCGTGCCGCAGGGGGTAAAAAACGAAAACAAACTACAAGCCTCTTTAAAGTTAAAAACCAAACGTTTTATTATAGCTAAAAAAAAAAAGACATTTTGCAAAATGGGGAAATACAGTCATAAGGCCTTGACCACGTGATCTAAAGGGCTAGAGGCTAGTAAAAGCCAAAATTGCAAGAAAGGGGGTGGTGGTGGAGGTGGGATCCAGTTGGGACCTTTCTGATCGGTTAAATTTACCAAGCTGCAAGTGGCGGGATCTTGGTGTACCACTCTTGTCGGAGTTGACCTCCTTTGCAAAGAGGGGGCTTCCTCGAGACCGGACTTGTCTGACCAAGAATTTCCTGGGACACTTTAAAACACAGCTGTGAGTGCAGAGTTAAAAAGGGTTCAGAAAAAAAAAAAGCATCCCTATAAGGAGGTCTAAAGATATGGCTCAGTCAGCACAAGCCGAATAACTTCATAACGTGGGTCATTTCACACCATGCATTTGAAACAAGCAGAGCAGGGTGAGCAAAGCCGAATTTTCCTGTAGAAATTGCTTGCATCCAGGTCTACTGTAGGAGCCTGGCTATACTGGACTGATAACTGTAAGGTCAGCGGTTCATAACCAAGGTCTCCCTCCAAAAAGATGAGGCCTTTTACTCCCATCATGAGTTACAGTCTTGAAACCCATAGGGGTAGTTCTACCCACAGTATCACAGACTTTGTGATTATCTGCACACTAAATGTGCCTCAAAAGAGTACATGAACTTTATCACAGCTACTTATCTCTATCCTAGGAGTAGTTCCATAAAGGGTCAAAACTCCCCTTTGATGTGTGAGTCTTCCGAAGGTGGGAGATCTAAATGTCCTAGATCTAGGTGTCTAAAATTCTGAAACGGAGTGGGGCTGTGGGCTTGTGTAATCCTGTGGATCAGTATGACACTTCCTTAACCAAGTGCAAATCCAAGTACCTGATGACCCAGCAATCTCTCTCCTATACCTCAAGGAAATGAAGACTGTAACACAGTGGTTCTCCACCTTCCTAATGCCACGACCCTTTAATACAGTTCCTCATGTTGTGGTGACCCCCAACCATAAAATTATTTTCCTTGCTACTTGATAACTGTAATTTTGTTACTGTTATGTTTTCCGATGTTCTTAGATGACCCGGTGAAAGGGTCATTCGACCCCCAAAGGGATTGCCACCCACAGGTTGAGAACTGCTGCCACAAACAGACATCTGCATGCCTATATTTATTGCAGCAATTTACAATAGCAAAAATATAGAAACAGCTCAAAGCCCCCAACTGTAGAGGAGTACATAAGCAATCTTTGGTACATTGACACTATGGAATTTTATGTATTGATAACAATGATAACTGTCTTAAACACCACCGGACAAACACTACTATGGACAAAGCTAGAGAATATTGTGCTTAGCAAACTCAGACAATCTTACAAAGATAATTCATATCACCATTGGTATAAGGAAAAACAAAGTAGAAGAAATGTGGTTTACACATCAATAGACAGCAGAATGACTAAGAGGAGGCCAGAGCTGGGGGAGGAGCAGTAAGGGGAGTGCTGGGACAAGGAACACATATCATAATGGAAGGTTTACTAGGGGAACCTTCCAGATTCCTTACCCCTCGGTTCTAGCCATTGGTCTGAAAAAAGTGGCTTGAAAAAAGGAAAACTGAAGTGGATTGGGGGTGTTTAGTGACATCCAAGTTCATTTCAAACATGGGAAGAAAAAATCAAGCTGAATATTGTGCAAAATCGCCCTCAGTAGAGAACAAGGGGGAAGCAGACGGAGTCTTTAATTTCTCTGCAAGTCTTTTAGTGGCCTGACACTTTCATTTCTTTTAAAACTACTAAGAATGAAATTCACAGTTGTACAGTTAATAGTGATTAGAATAGCAGTGACAGTTATGCATTAAGCTGCTTACTGCCTGGTCAGCGGTTCAACCCCCCTACCCAGTCTGCAGGAGAGAGATGAGACTGCATGCTGTAGTCAAGATATACAGAGATGGAACCCCTGAGGTACATGTCATTCTGTCCTCTAAGGTCCTTGTGAGTCAGAAGAGCTGCGACAGCAGGAGGTGGCGGTGGATAAGAATGTCTGTGGCTTTCTGCAATGGGTTGGTAGGTACAGAGGAGGGTACACAAAACAGTGACTGTGTTCTATAGGAACTTGTGTCTGTCGTGACCTATAAGGGGAGTTCAAATAGCTGACATCGAAATATCAGAAGTGTTCATAAAGGGCTGAGAAAAAAATGGAACCAAAATAAACCCCAAACACTGCCAGCGAGTCCATTACGATTCACAGCAGCCCGATAGGACAGGGTAGAACTGCCCCTGTGGATTTCCGAGACTGTATATGGGAGTAGAAAGCCTCCTTTCTTCGGCCGAGTGGCTGGTGATTTTGAACTGGTGACTGTGGTGAGCAGCCCAATGTATAACCACTACACCAAAAGGGCAGGCAGGACCTAAAGCCCCCCCTGGCCACTTCCACCTTGAACATGATTTCCCCCACTCCCTGGTGGTATAGTGGGTTAGGCATTGCGTTGCTAACTGCAAAGTCAGCAGTTTGGAACCATCAGCCACTCTGGGAAAGACAGATGAGGCTTTCCGCTCCTGTGAAAACATACAGAAACACAGGGCAATTCTGCTCTGTCCTGTAGAGTCACCAGGAGGCAGAATTGACTCAGTGGCGGTCAGATGTTCTTTTTCTTGGGTCCCTTCAAAGTATACGAGGCAACGTCTGGCGATCCTCCTTGCTAAGGAGAGTTTTGATCACATTTCTCCCGAGACCCATTTGTTGCTGCTAGCAGTCCATGGGAATTTGGCCATCCTCCGCTCACCTTCAGGAATGCCCCCATTCCGTCCCAATCTTCCCTTTTCATTGTCCAGGGTTGAATGTACATGAGCCAATTGGAAATGTCCTGACCTGGGCCAGGTATACTTTAGTCTTCAAAGTGACATCTTTGATCCTGAATACTTTGAAGAGTATTAAATACTTTCCTTTTGTACAGCTCTTTAGAGACACTTCTCATTTGCATTTCAGTGGCAGCTCTTTGTAGAAAGCGGAGTCTCAGAGACTGAATGATTTGTCCCAAGAATATGATGCAAAGGGGGCCCTGGTGGCATAGTGGTTACATATTGGTCTGTTAATGTCCAGGTCAGCAGTTTGAAACCTGCTCTGTGGAGGAAGGTGGGACTTCCTACTCCTGTAAAGTTTGACAGTCTCTTAATCCCACAGGGGCAGTTAGTTCTCCCCTGCCCTTTAGGGGAGCCCTATACGGTCAATTCTGTCTTGACCTCTGGGCTCGCTATGAGTGGACTCAATGGCAGTGAGTGAGCATATGATACAAAGTAGGGGTCCCGTGTGGTGATCCCGAGGCGCTTCTAGCTCACTCATATTGACCCGCTGGGGCCACCAGGGATGTTTGAAGAAACCCTTAACCCTCAAGATAGAAAAGCCAACGGCAGAGTGCATGCAAGATCCTTGTCTGACATCCTCTCACCGAAGGGTCACAGGAAGCGACTAGCCAGCCAGGGTGCAGTCTAGCACCGAGGACACATATGACATTCCTCCAGTTCTTTGAGGTTTCCTCCCCACCACTATCATGACCCCTGTTCTACCTTACAAATCCGGCTAGACTGGAGCATGTCAGGAACAATGATGGGAGTAGTGATCCCAGGAGGAGAGGGGGAAGGGAGGGGAAAAGGAGTAGAAAAGGGGGAGCCGATCACAATGATTGATGTTATCATATACCCCCCCCCAGGGGACAAACAACAAAAACATGGGTGAAGGGAGATAACAGATGGTATACGATATGAAAATAATAATTATTTATGCTTGATCAAGAGGTCATGAGGGGTGGGGAAAAGAGCTGATACCAAGGACTCAAGCAGAAAGACAATGTTTTGAAAATGATGATGGCAACATATGTACAAATGTGCTTGATAGAATTGTTGTATGGAGTGTTATAAGAGCTGTTAGAGCTCCCAATAAAATGATTTATTTAAAAGGATCTACATATAACCTCCTCCCTGGGGGACGGACAACAGAAAAATGGGTCAAGGGAGATCTCAGGCAGTGTAATATATGACAAAATAACTTATAAATTATCAAGGGTTCATGAGGGAGCGGGGAGCAGGGAGGGAGGGGAAAAATGAGGAGCTGATGCCAGGGACTTAAGTAGAGATCAAATGTTTTGAGAATGATGAGGGCAATGAATGTACAAATGTGCTTGACACAATTGATGTATGTATGGATTGTGACAAGTTGTATGAGCCCCTAATAAAACGATTAAAAAATTTAATAATAAATAAACAGACAAACAAACAAACAATGGTTCTGGAGTGGCAGATAGAGCAGAGCCCCAGAGGCCACAGCAACAAGACTAGGAGACAGGATGGAGAAGCCCTACTGAGACCACGAGGCACAGTCAGAAAGGCGCTCTGTTTTCATAGAGAGTTACGCCTTGGGAACCACATGGAGGTGGATCTCCTGGGTCTTGTAGGGGTGCCATGACTCGGAAGCAACTCCCCAGAAATAGGTGGGTGATGGAATCTTTATGAGAGTGGATTGCCTGGCCTTTTCTCCTGGGGTG